AGGACAAGGGGGGCTGGTGAGTTAGCTCAGTGGCATAAGCGCCTGCCTGGCAAGCTTAAATAAGGTCCTGAGTTCTATCCCCAATGCAAAAAAATTTTTTTTAAAAATCAGGACCAAGACAAGGATGTTTGTTTTTATCACTTTATAAATATAGTTCTGCAAGTCCTGGCCAGCAAAATTAGCCAAGAAATAAATAGCACCATAGGCATAGAAGAAACAAAATTATCTCTGCAGATAACATGTTTTTATAAGGAGAAAATAATTGTTAGAACTAACTTTTAAAATTCAGCGAAGTTACAAAATACAAAAAATCAAAACACAAAAGACAGTTGCAGCTCTATACATTAAAAATAAAGGACCACAGAAATGAAATTAAGGAAGCAATTCCATTTACAATAGCATCAAAAAGAATAAAATACTTAGACACAAGCCTAACCACAGGGATGTGCTACTGCTGAGGCCTAAATGTTTGTGTCGTATCCTCACTGGTCGGATGAAACTAATCCCAGTGAGGTAGTATTAACAGGGAGGCCTTCTGAGATGACCAGGCCACAATGTCACCACCTTCCTGAATGGCGCTGGTGTGCTTATAAGAGGTCGGAGGGATCTTGTTCTCATGAGGCCACAGATAGAAGGCACCATCTAGTAGTAAGAAGGCCTTCTTCATAGACTGCCCTTTATTTTAGACTTCTCAGCATCTATAACTGTTACCAGTAATTTCCATTACATATAAATTACTTAATATAAGTTTTTTTTATTATAGGGAACTAATGGAGACAAGGTGAAAGAGTTGTACAATGAAAACTATAAAACACTATCAGAAATTAAAAACAAATAAATGGAAAGATCTTCTGATATGAAAGACATTATTATTATTATTCAATGCAATATCTTGGAAAATCTCCATGGCACAACCACATGCAAAACATTAAGTTGGACTGTACACAAAAATTAACTAAAGGGCTGGCACTGTAGCTCACAGAACACTTGCCTACCTTGTGTGATGCCCTAGATTAGATCCCTAGCAACACACACACACACACACACACACACACACACACACACACACACACTCAAAGACCTAAAGACTGAAACATAAAACCAAAACTGTAAAACTCCTAGAACAAACCATATGGGGAGCATTTCATGACACTAGATTTTACAATTATTTTCTCAGATTTGATACCAAAATCACAAATAACAAAAGAAAGAAATGGAATTATATAAATCAAGCATAGTGATGCATGCCTGTGATCCTAGAATTGTGGAAGGCTGATGCAGGAAGATTACAAATTCAAGCTCAGATGTAGCAAGACCCTGTCTCACAATATTAAAGTGCATAAAAACAACAACAACAACAACAATAGAACAGACAAACATCTGGACAGGGTCAGATATATAATTCATGTTAGAGTATCGGCCTGGCATATTCTCATTTTGATTCTAAGTGTTGTAAAACAAAACAAAATAAATCTCCCCAGGTCCTGTATGTTATGGCTTATACCTAGATCTCCCCCATTAACCCTCATACACTCACAGGTGGGACTTTCAGGAGTGTCTGGATTACGGATGTGTAATTCTGGGTGAGTCTGCTGATCAGTGTAGCAAAGTTCTGGGTGTGGGAAACTACCCACTCAGGCCCCCCTCCTGTCCCTCTCTCAGGATAGGAGCTTTCTTTCTCTCAATAAATATATTCTGTTCATAAAAGAAAAAACAAAAAAAAAAGTTCTGGGTATAGGAGATGGTCTTACTAAATAGGGAAGCCCCACCCTGAGTGTGGGTGGCACTAACCAATAGGCTTGTACCCTGGATGGAATAAAAATCGAAGGAAGGCTCGCTCCTTCCTGCCTGCCTTTCCAGGAACTCTGCTCTGCCATGCTTCCCTCCCTTGGAGCCAGCCACCTGTGGACTGAAGCCTCTACAAACTGTGAGCTAACTAAACCTTCCTCCTTTAACTAGTGGGTGATAGATATTTTGTCCCAGCAATGAGACAGACAGACATTGTACAAAGGGTACACTTAATAGATTGGAAAAGAAACCTAAGGAATCAGGGAATATTTAGAAATCATAAAAAGTTAATACAGAAAGTTCAACTCAAGAGCAACAAAAATAACCCAATTAAAAACTGGCCAAGGATTTGAGACATTTCTTTAAAGACGACGGGAAGATGACCAGCAGATAAGATTCTTAACATGACTAATTATGAGAGAAATGCAAATCAGCCCCACAATGCAGTATCTGCTCATACCCCCTAGGGTGACTACTATTAGCAAAGAGAAGAAAAGTATTGCTATGAAGAAAATGGAACCTCTGTGCACTCCTGGTGGAAATGTCAAATGGTATCGCCACAGTGGAAAAGAACATAGATAGAGGTACTTCAAACAATTAAAATACAGTTACCATCTGAGCCAGCAATTCAACTATGAACTAAACATGTCCCTTGAAAATTCACAGGTTGAAGCCCTACAGGGTCTTGGGGAGGTGATGAGGTCACCAGGTCAGAGCCCTTCTGAATGGGAGTAATGGAGAGGAGAGGTGAAATTTTGTTTCATGTGAGGATTTAGCAAGAAAGCATCCCTCTGCAAATGAAGAGGCCCCTCAGCAGGAACTAAACTGGCCTGTGACTTCCCAGCCATTAGAATGCTAAGGAATAAACTTTGTAACCCAGCCCAACACGGTAATTTTGTTATTGAAGCCCATACAGACATCATATATATGAACTGAAAGCAAGATCTCAAAAGAAATTTTTGCATACCCATGCTTATAACAGCATTATTCACAGGAGTCATTTGGAAGTAATCCACAAATTGACTGAGATGAAGGAATAAAATGTGATACACACAATGGAATATTATTCATTTCATCCATAAAAAGGAAGGAAACCCTCTCATGCTTCAAGATGGATGAACTTTGAGGATACTAGACATAAACTGATCACAAAAGGAAATATACTGTATGATTCCATTTTCACGATTGCATATCCTAATAAATAATAAGTAAAAATGGTGGTTTCTAAGAAGTGTGTGCAATTGTTTAATACGTATAGTTTAATTTTTACAAGATGAAAAAGTTCTAGAGTAAGGGTGCAGAACAATGTGAATTTATTTAACACTACTGAATTGTACAATTAAAAAGTACTGTTATACCATATGTATACCTAAGATGGTAGATTTTGTGAGTGTGTTAAGTCTTTCATCACAAAAATTTTCAAAGGAAGTGGGTTGTTGAAAATGGCCAGCTTGCATGAGTCTGAAGGGGAGCTTCATGGCAAGGAGGTCTAATGGTACAGTACCATAAGTTTTTATAAATTCTGAGTTCGAGTATGTTTTGGGTGAGGGACGGTTTGATCTTTTGCGGAAAGTAGGATCCCCAGCTTGCTATGCATGTAATAAAGACTTTTATCCTGAAGTGTTTTGGAGATTAGCCCTTCAGGCTTAAAATGATTTCATCTATTGGACTGAATCCATCAGCACACTCTTATGAGATTATGGACCACAGTGAAGTCAATGAGACTTTGCGATTGTGCTGAGCACCAACCCTGGGTGAGCCCAGGTGACTGAAATGTAGTTTACTCTAATGGGCTCCAGCAGCCCATCCAGTCTTCTGGGGCATGGATGCCTGTTTATGTTCAGGGTACGAGATGAGTTACTAACAGTTTTTCTCTAAGCAAAGTGGTAAATTTACTTTGATTTCTAAATTGTCATTTGGCCAGGATAGATAACAACAGTAATCTTAATTTTTCTTTCTTTTTTTCTTTTGTGGTACTGGGAATTGAAGTCAGGGCCTTGTGCGTGCTAGGCAAACACTTGACCACTGAGCTGTAGCCCCAGTCCTCAATTTGTCTTTTGAAATCCTGTATGCAAAGACAAAACTAAACACACACACACACACACACACACACACACACACACACACACACGGTAAGTTAATTGTCATCACAGTGTTGCAACTTAGCCCTTCTACAAATCCTACCCTGGACTAGACAACTTGGTCATTTAATGGCTTGTTCTGAACTACTTTATAACAAAACAGATATTATTCTCATTTTACAATGAAAGCTCAAGAAATTAACATTGCTTAAGGCCACCCAACTGGCCCAGGAGAGTTAGGATTCCAGCGGGCCTGTTATCCACGTGAGTCTGCACTCTTTCTTACCTGCTATGTGGCCTCTCTAGACACACACAGGTCTGATTACAAAGACTGCTAGTCCAGTCATTTTATTATAAGTGAAAAGAGGGGTGAGATACACTTTTTATCCACTTTACTCATTTAGTAAAAGCAAATGGTACAAAACAGTATTCTATTTTTCTGTTTATTTTTTCTCTTATGGGGACCAGAAAAATACTGGCATCTAATCAGAAAATCTATTTTTGGGCTGGGGAGATAGCCCGGCGGTCTAAGCACCAGCCTGGCAAGTACAAGGACCCAGGGTTCATCTCCAGTACCGCATGCTGTGCCAGCCACAGAAATGAGGAACATGATGGCGCAGGCCTGTAATCTCAGCACTGGGTGGCTGAGACAGAAAGATCACAAATCCAAGCTGTGTAGCAAGA